GGCGTCGGCAATAAACAGCCGACACGCGACGGCGCGACCACCACCCAATACAAGCGCAACGACGCCCTCAGGCGTGCGGCGCGGCACAGTTTTTTCGGGCCAACGGTTGGTGCTCATAGTGGCCCCGACTCCACGGCGGTGACGGCGATCACTCGACAAATGAACCGCATAGATTAGCCTTCATAGATTTTACGTATTCACGTGCTGATCAATGAACTTCTCAGTTAATTCCTGGGCTTATTTTCGTTTGCACTATAACCCTCAGGTTATACAGATTGTGTGTGAACGCATATTTGCGAGTGAATTGCAGAAAACATCAACATTGAAGGCTAAGGTTGCAGAAACCACAATTCTACAGTTTTGTACCAAAAACCACTAATTCTGAGCCTAATTTTTTGCAAAAAAACACTAGTTGGCGACTTAGTCCATTTCAACCACAATTATGACAGGTGGGTCCCGCTTTTGCTGACGTGGCAGAACTGTTCGCGTGAGACAGCGTTAGTTCTAAATTTACAGAAGAGTCCCTGACTTTTTGCTTAGAGACCCTTCAATCAAAAATAGAAAAAGCAATCAACCCCATCCGCAGGGGAGGCGTGGTGACATGCTGCTGCTCGTGCCCCGGCAGGCACAAGGAGGCGCGGTGAGCTCAGGGCCGGCCCTGGGGGTATGGCCAGGGGGCGACAGCCAAGGGCCCAAGCCGGAGGGGGGCCCATGATGTAGTACACACGTATAGTATAGCCCAGCAAAAAATAGACAAGAAAACAAGATGGGCTCGGCCCATCAGATCGCCTGGTAATGCATAGCGAAGCGTCGGCACACAAGTCACGGCCGCGCGACGCACGCGTACGTGTGAAACAAATCAATCGGAATATCTGGCTTTTCCTGTTCTGCTCGTTGGTTCGTCTTCGTCGTCTCCTCGGCCTGTCGCTCGATCGTTCCTCGCTCGTTGCCTCAGCCGCTCGTTGCCGCCGCGGCACGCAACAGTCCGGCAACTCGAACTTCCAGCAATATGGCAATACATATGTATGTGAATGCAGGTACGTATCCAATATCAATGTTTCGATGTTCCTGATCCATTCATCCATGCCCCAATTTCAGTAGTTTCTTTAGCACGTATATTAAACTATTCATCCATGATCCATCCCATGAAGTATCAAAAAATTTATGTATAATTTTCTAATTCAATCTTTCATAGTATGTATTAAACCATCCTAATTTTTTGTCATTTTGTGTACATGTCTAGGGTTCTGATCATCCGATTCATAAATTTCTAGTTCGTTATCTACTCTTTGCTTCGTAATATTAGGACATTAGCATGTCATGTTGCCTAAGAAGCATTTGTCGGGTACTGAAAAAAGGAGAAGAAAGAAAGAAATAGATCTGAAAATTCAACCACTGAAGGGTTCTTAGACAAAGTATTTTACATCTTCAAGTATCGTCGATGTCAATGAAGAACATAGGCAAGGAACTAATCCCAAGCATGAAAGTTCAGATGTTAAGGTCAATGAAATTGTGCAAGTACAGAGGAGCAAATAAATTTGTTTCCTATTTGAGGTAATCATGTCATGTTAGTTTTACTTTGCATTGTACAACTATTATTGTAGTCAAATTTCAAACTAAAGATGCGTGGTTGAAAGTTTACTTTTAATATTATGCAAAT